ACTTCGTACTCTACTTAGGAGTTATCTAACTCATTGAGTACCTAACATTGCACTTTGTACTCTACTTAGGAGTTATCTAACTCATTGAGTACCGAACATTACACTTCGTACTCTACTTAGGAGTTACTAACTCATTGAGTACCGAACATTGCACTTCGTACTCTACTTAGGAGTTACTAACTCATTGGGTACCGAACATTGAATTTCGTACTCTACTCAGGAGTTACTAACTCATTGAGTACCTAACATTGCACTTCGTACTCTACTCAGGAGTTACTAACTCATTGAGTACCTAACATTGTACTTCGTACTCTACTTAGGAGTTATCTAACTCATTGAGTACCGAACATTGCACTTCGTCCTCTACTTAGGAGTTTGTTTGTTTGTTTTTTAATTATGCACAAAGCTACACAAGGGCTATCTGTGCTCTGCCCACCACGGGTATCGAAACCCGATTTCTAGCGTTGTAAGTCCGCAGACATACCGCTGTGCCACTGGGGGGGGGGCAACTTAGGAGTTATCTAACTCATTAAATATCTTTTTACAAAATACAAGTGATTCTGTTTTTCTCCAACGTATCTATAGGAAGATCTCACAATGTTTGCAAATTTCACAAGTGCCAAAAATTACGCTGGGAGAGGGATGTAGGTGTATGGTTTTCAAAAATTCTCTAAAGGATAATACTTTGCTGTAAATAAATAGCTTTCAAAAGTATTAATTAGCAGTAACTTCATCAGATTTTGTGGACTTGATAATATCTTTTAAAAAAATTATTGTTAACTACTGATCAAAGAAAGCTACTAACATAGATTAGAACTAATAATATACATTTAGTAATGTGTATATCTAATTAAATATAATGTTTAAGTTATATTACTTATAATGATTACAATGAATTATTTCATCAGACGATATTTTGCCATCTTATGTGTACGTTTTCAAAGGGAGGTGGGGTTTCACGAAAAGACATACGTTTTATACGCCCGTGAAAATTGTAAAAATTGTGAACCACCCCTAAAACGCGTCATTTTTTATTCATTTATTCAGTTTCAACAATACTCAATCTCCACGATATTTAGTCTCCGATGAGTTAGCGGTAAGTTTAAGGACCTAAAATCCAGGGTTCGATACGATTATACATGTAACATTATTTTGAGTAAATCAGTATTTCAACTTAAGTAAAGTTTCCAAGTATTAAACATGTTACATGATATTCTAACAAATTTTTGTGAAATAAATTCTGATTGGAGCATGTCACGTTTCTTTGTATTTAATCGCAAAGATACACAGTGAACTATACGTTCATCACCAGGGGCCAATCGGAGCTTGACTAGAGAGTGTGATTAATAACACAAAGAACAGTGATTTAGAAGTGAATTATTATTTTAGTTTGTTTTTTTCTAAGAGAGTGACCTTCTTCACAGTACATCAGTCGAACTGATCCACATTCCGAATGAGTTCCTAAATTTATGAACGCAAAACGATATACATGATAAAAATTCGAAAGTTAGTTTGCCGAAATACAAGGTGTACGAAGCTATGTGAAAAATATGTTTACTTGTGTTTCAGAGACATAAAGAGTCTTGATTATCTTCTAATGAGGTGCTTTGTAGTTGCCAGTTGTGCAATTTACAATGATGGACAAGCGTAGGGTATGGACAATGTGTGCTCTAATGCTTTACACAATCAGATATAAGCACTAACGAGTTTATTAACACAATTTTCGGACACCGTGTGTAATCTTCTGGAAGTACAAGAATATACACAGTATGTTTGTATTGTTGTTTAGCACAAAGATACAAAATGGACAATCTGTACTGTGACTACCAGGGATATTGAAACCTGATTTTTAGCGTTATAAGCCCTTTGACCTATTGTTGAGCTACCGGGGGAGGGCGTAAAAATTATAAAGTCAATTTACTTAAATTTTAAGTACACAGCAAATAACTGACAAGGACATGTTATTGAATTTCAATGTTTAGATTTCGAGTAATGTTATGGTAAGATAAAGCAAGTTCAAAGTGTCTGTGAATAAAGCACGTTCTTTGTTTTAGAGGGGATCATATATGAACGTTTTATGAATCAGTTTTAAAAGCGAATAATCGTTTGTGTGCAGTTTATTCTACGGATATGTGAAAGGTCTGCCGATTTTTAACACTTTGGATTAAAAATTAGGATTAGACTCAATAGTATCGTTGCCAGACCAACTACATTGCGTGTTAGAAAGCTCAAAAAGGAAAACAAAATCGAATAATTTTCATACGCATTTGTGCAAACCTGCCTTGAAATCAAATCAAGTGGTATTTGAAATCAATAACTCGTCCCCTCTAAAACAAAGAAAGTGCTTTATTCACAGGCACTTTGAAGTTGTTTTATCTCACCTTAACATTATTTGAAATCAAAGACAAAATATCACATTATAATGAATCGTATTAGTTCAACAATAGTAGAAAAATATCACATTATAATGAATCGTATTAGTTCAACAATAGTAGAAAAATATCACATTTTAATGAATCGTTTTAGTTCAACAATAGTAGAAAAATATCACATTATAATGAATCGTTTTAGTTCTTCTTCAAAAGTAGAAAAATATCACATTATAATGAATCGTTTTAGTTCTTCAACCACAGTAGATAAATATCACATTATAATGAGTCGTTTTAGTTCAACAATAGTAGAAGAATATCACATTATAATGAATCGTATTAGTTCTTCAACCACAGTAGATAAATATCACATTATAATGAGTCGTTTTAGTTCTTCAACCACAGTAGGTAAATAATGCATCTACTTTTGAAGAAGAACTAATACGATTCATTATAATGTGATATTTTTCTACTTTTGAAGAAGAACGAAAACGATTCAATACACTATATTAATTTTCAGTTATTGCTAAAGAACTAAACTGAATAACACATTTTCTAGAATCAATAAGCATACAAACCTGACCAAAAAATATTTCTGAAATAAAGAAACGGACCAAGTGTGGCCCAATTGTTAGCGCGCCGGATTGTAAGTCCAGGAATTTATAGTTCAAGTCCTCTTATCGCACTTTGAAGCCGTGGGTACATTATAAAGGTGGCTGTAAAATCCTACTTTTTGACTAGAGCAGCCCGTGAGTTGGAAGTTGGTGTTCCGAATTACAGATACCTTCTCAGTAGTACATAAGTGCTCCCCAGTGGCATAGCGGTGTGTCTGCGGACTTACAACGCTAGAATCCGGGTTTCGATACCCGTGTTGGGCAGAGAACAGATAGCCCATTGTGTAGCTTTGTGTTTAATTACAAACTAACCAACAAAACAACTAGTGCATAAGTTCCAAATTAAGGATGGCTAGCGCAGGTAGCTGTCGTTTAGATTTGTGCGAATATATGAAACAAACAGACAGACTGAAATACAGTTTTAATTTGATTTACAAACAATAAAGTAATAAAGATGGAAATTGTATCCTCTGTCTTACGTAGGTTTGGCTAAGAATACTGAATCGTTTAAATTACAAATGTGCTTATTGAAAATACTGTGTGAGTAACCAGAATGTTCATCTGTTTGAAATTCATGAGTGATACACAAACCGACCATTATATCACGTTTCATTTAAACTTATTTTTTTCATCTAAATAATGACATTACAGATAAATTTGGTTTGGTTGTTGTCAAGCACAAAGCTACACAATGGAATTTCTGCTCTCTGTCCACCACGGGTATCGAAACCCGATTTTTAGCGTCGTAAGCCTGGGATTTTTTACTGCTGAGCTACTAGTAAGACTACAGTAAAACAACAGGAAAAAAAAGTTGATCAATGAAGAAGCAGTAAAATCCTTTCAAGTTATATGTCGGTATTTATAGAGCAGGAGACATAGTATCTGTTATTGGATGGTCAACATTAGAAAGCAATGCTGCCTGGTACGCTCGTGGTTCAAGATGAAGAGCACCGCTAATGGATAATCTTGTTTCAAAATTCACGCATGCTAAGCCGATGAGATCAAAAATAGTTCTAAGTCGTGAACTTTATGTGATAGTAGAAGTGTTTTCCAGAATAAAATAATTCAATGTCTGTTAGACATCATTAAGTCGTTTAATGCAGTTGAAGTTCTACAGATTAACTGCAGTGATATATTCATTGAAAGTTCTATCTCCGGGGACTCAACTGTAAATCTGGGGGCTTATAACGCTAAAAATCAGACTTCGATACCCATGGAGGGCACAACACAGATCATTGTGTAGCTTTGTGCTACAAACAAACTTTTTGCTTTCATATGTATTTAAAAAATACACAGTTGCCAATGGATGTACTCCAGATAACTCTATAAGTGTTGAAAAGAAGTCTAGCTAAGGTGACCATGCGTTATAACATCTGTTAATTAGCAAAGATTTTATCAATGGATGAACCCCAGATAACTCTATAGGTGTTGAAAAGAAGTCTAGCTAAGGTGACCACGCGTTATAACACCTGTTAATTAGCAAAGTTTTTATCAATGGATGAACCCCAGATAACTCTAAGTGTTAGAAAAGAAGTCTAGCCAAGATGATCGTGTGTTATAACACCTGTTAATTAGCAAAGTTTTTATCACTGAAACTTACTCAAAAACCGTTCAGATTTAGTGCGTTAATTGTTATTGGTGTTATTAAAGTGAATCAATTGTTATTGAAAGGTGTTTGTTATCGGAGTAAATTAAATAATAACTTCATAATGTTTTCCTGTTTTTTCGTGTCAGAGTATATTTTTATTTATTTTTTATGTTACAGGCTATGGGAACATCGCAGCTAAGACTAACTGGGGAAAGGTGGTCACCATCCTGTATGCTATCATAGGAATTCCTTTAATGTTCTTGTACCTAACAAATATAGGTGACCTACTCGCCAAGTCCTTTAAATACCTTTACCGTAGACTGTGTGGGTGTAAACCGGAGGATGGGCGTCGGCGTCGTCACCACGCAGAACATTACCGTGTTCACCACATTGTGCTACAAGAAAATGCTCCCAATTCTCACGGCTCTCTCGACCCAACTCTACCAAGCAAGTTCGCCACGCCGCAACCCACAGCAGAAGAAGTCAAGATGGAGACCATTCCAGATGACCTATCAGAAGAAGGGGATTATGGGAAACCGAGAGCCAATGTCCCCATAACTCTCTGTTTAGCCTTGATCACTGGGTACATATGTGGAGGAGCTTTTCTTTTTTCGCTCTGGGAAGGTTGGAACTACCTAGATGGCGCTTATTTTTGTTTTGTTACTCTCAGTACCATTGGATTTGGAGACCTAGTGCCTGGTGACACGGTCGTCTCGGACACTACTGGGTCACAGGAAAAGCTGGTAATTTGTTCGCTCTACGTGCTTGGGGGCATGGCCTTGATTGCCATGTGTTTCAACCTCGTCCAGGAAGAGGTCATCTTCAAAATGAGGAACCTTGGGAAGAGGCTAGGCATCGTAAACGATTCCGATGATTCTGACGACTGAGCTTATGGCAAAATGACGTAAAGTTAGCTTCAGCTTCGAGCTAATATATCACGTTTTAGATAAAGGAATAACATAGGGTGGGAGTAATTTGTAATCATGGCCAGATGAAGATATGTTCAAAGTAAAAATTAATCTGCTTTCTTTAGCATGTAGGCTAGGATTGTTCTAGTTCATTTTAAATAGAGACCACACGAACTGTTCTACTGGCAAATAAATAAATAAATAAATAACAGTTTTTAGCATTTATCCAGTTCTAGATAATATAAATGCACTACGTCACTGGAACTCGTGGAGTTAGAATAAGACACTAGTTATTGACTGGTCTGAAATAATACTGTGTTAGCATTGAAGTCACCAGTAGCCAAACCAGCTTTATAATACAGTAAACAATCAACAGAAACATAGCCAGTGATCAACTGATTTACATAGATACACGTATATATATATATAGTTAAAATTACTAGTGTTAGTATTATGCAGAGACGAGCTGAGGAAGGCGGTATCAGAGGTATATAAAACTGTCGAGCGTTCCAGGAGACTACTAGGATGTGCCTTAATGATTTATCTTAATTCTTTGATGGGTCCATTTCATCACCATGTATCAAACTATTTAGTTCTTGAGCACTATTCATTGTTGTTGAACTTATATACTGCTCTTTCACTGTTTATTGTGCATGTGTATAGAAGATAGTATCACTAAAATTACGCGATGTTGCACAGCGGATACATCTTTTGTTTTTGGAGCTCAATATTGATCATGTGATGTGTTGCCTGTTTTGATTGTACATTAATGAATTTATCGAAGAAGAAGAAGAAGAAATGGGGAACCCCGATCCATGCTGTAAAAGCTTTCAATTATTTTAATTAAAACTAAAATTGCAACATCCTCAAATGCTCGTGAAAGAAACTGGATTAGGATTTCATCAACCGGATATGACTTTCCCCTTTATTTGTTATTGTTCTTTTGAGGGAGGGGGATATTTTATGTACGTGTGTACCACTTCATGCTTCGAAAGTGACTTGAATGTGACAAAATAATATTGTTCTTAGCCAGAGATCGTGAAGACAGAAGAATCCAATTAATATAGACCAGAAAATGATGTCAAGTGTTCTAGATAATATATATGAGATCAATGTCTTTTAAACCAGTTTTCTGTATAGTGTATTAAATAAATTATTCAGTCTGTATACTGTGATTATTGTTTGGGCAAGTCTTTAGCATATATTATTAATAACCAGGGTTTTGAAGGTCTGATCTCATGGTAAAATAGCAATAGGTGGATTAATTATCAGTATTTTGGTTGGAAAACAAAACAAGATTTATCAGAGCAACAACACAGATAATGCAAGCGTGGAATATATTCACGTCCATGTGTTTAATTGTAAAATACCTGTTTTTTTGTGGTTTTTTTTTTTTTCACTGAAGCAAGATTCTATATACTTCGTTGTAGTCAGTAATATAACTATATTGAAACTTCAGCAAGTGATTGAAGGTCATTTCTTAATTATTATTATATAGCTTGACTGAAACTTTATAGCCACGGGCGCAGGCAGGAAAGGAAATGGGTTTTAGGAACTAGATACACGCTTAGAAGGAACAGTGGGACGATAGGTATAAAAAGACAAATAGAAAAGATAGGAGATTCTTATTTTATATTCTAGCTTGTCAATATCGGTATTTTAAGTTCCTAATTCGTATAAAACTATAAACTTTGTATTTGGACATCACACACATCTAATCTGAACCAATGCTGCATTCAACATACCACGTGAGAAACACAAATATTTAGGTGTGTTCTTATAATATTTACTTTGAAATTAAGAAATTAACTAATGTATAATACTAAAATTTGAATTATAGTTTACAGTTTGATACCAAACTTATTGATATAAATTCATGAAATAGTAGTTCAAAAAAATTTTGAACGTAAGTCAACAAACGCGATGACATGGCCTTTTGACAACATCTTCAGTGGTACTAAACTTAACCAATGGGGGGGGGGGGGATGCAAACTGAGAACTAGGTACACGGTGGCAGAACTCAGAGAGGTATTATTGGATATGTTTTGGAACTATACCTTGCAATTTTAAACTTTTTTCTGGGGTGAGGGTGGGGGTTAATGTCCATAACGTAGATAAGAGACACTGGACAAGTTCTTAATTGTCTAATAACATTAGTAGACTCGCGCCCGCAGCTTGAAAAACAACAATAATGAAAATTAAAAGATTGTGTATGTATTTATAAGTATAAAAGAAAATAATAACGTACCAACTACATAACATTCTACAAGAATGGCTGTCGATATTACACAAATATCATCTAGTAGTACTTTTAGCTGCTAAGAGATGTCACTACATGAATATTTGTCACTGTCACAATCAAAGTGACCACTGTAATATAATTAAGAAATCAAAACAAAGATTGAATTTTCCAGTCATTATTTTTATTACTTACATTTATGAAAAGTAATATAATATTCAGACTCTATAAGTGCAATATCATTTTCTTTCTTTTTCGCAAAACACTCAATAAACTGAGCATTATCGGAAAGTAAACCGTCTTCTTTTCGCGAAATTCGGACATGAATTTATTTATAATAATAAAAAATAAAATTATTCTATTTTGTTAACTTTTCATTGTGGCGTTGTTAATACTCAGAAGTTTATCTATAGTTTCGCTGACTGAAGACTGTCCAATAAACATCTACTAAATCGAATTTGGTGTATTTTCGGTGCAATTTGCACAGAACAAGAATTTGAATTCTCCTTTTCTAAAGGATAAAACAAAATATGATGCGATCAACAATGTCCTTGCTGGCGTGTAGAGATGAATTTTGAGTTTGGGAAGATAACAATTTAAGCGTTATTGATTCCATTATTTGGGAATGGGCGAGAAAAGAGTGACGTAGTTAACTCAATTATCAATTTCTAATGCAACAAAGGCAGTCTTAAAATTAATTATAGTGTTTTGACCTTTACATGAAAAAAAAAAATCCGAAACTGGTTGCGGATATCAGATCCGGAGAGATCTGGAAGAAATTAAGCACTAACTAAAATATTTTCACTTTCTAGGAAACTCCAACGATTTTGAACTGTTTGGTAATAGGATTAAAATAGGAATTTTCTAGTTTTGGTTAAATGCAACCAATTTATCGATTCCTCAACGTTCAGAGTCTCAACAATATGACTGATCGTACAGATATAGAGACAGCGATCATTACGCACTGTTACAATCTGAAAGTAATGTTCAGAGTCTCAACAATATGACTGATCATACATTGTAACAGTGCGTAATGATTGCTGTCTCTATATCTTTGAAAATAATGTCAGGGCTTTGATGTAACGTCTATGAAATTAATATCAGATAATTTTTGCAACTAGAATTTTGCACAAATTACGACGAAAAGCCCCCCCCCCATTCCACCCTTCTTATACAGATTTATTTATTTTTTTGAGAAATGCAACCAGAGCCAATGAATTGAAAAATATTGACTTACAACGCTAGAAACTGGGTTTCGATACCCGTGGCGGGCAGAGCACAGATAGCCCATTGTGTAGCTTTGTGCTTCATTACAAACAAACAAACTACTCTCCACCTATAGGCTTGGCTTGGTGGTTAGGGCGCTCGACTCGCAATCTGCGGGTAGCGGGTTCGAATCCCATCATCAAACATACTCGCTCTTATAGTAGTGGGGGCTAACAAAATAAGGGTAGGTGGTGTTGACTAGCAGCTCTCCCTCTAGTCTATCGTATCAAAATTAGGAACGGTTAACATAGATAGGCCCCGAATAGCTTTGCGCGAAATTAAAACAAACAAACAAAGAAACTTATAGGTTTACTGTAAAAGTAGAATCAGCTCATCTAATAAAAGCTTTATTTACTTTCTATAGCATTAACCTATAAGATACTTCTATCTATGTTTGAACCTATAAGATACTTCTATCTATGTTTGATGTTTTTCTCACATTTGAAAATATTGTTCAAAAACTAGTCAGTGTTTTATTGTAAATAAAAGTCTTCCAATGGCTCAGGGGTAAGTCTGAAGGCTTATAACGCAATAATCTGGGTTTCGATACCCGTGGTGAATATAGCACGCCTATTGTGTAGCTTTGTGCTTAATAACAACAACAAATAATGTTTTGATATATAATATTTTCGTCATTCGCTTTAAAAGTAGGAGAAGACTAATATCATATTTTCCAGTCAAAATATGAATGCAACTTTAAGACATTTATATGCTTATACTGTACAGAGAGAGATGGTAATAAGTACCAAAATGCTTGTTTGCTTCAGAATGTCGCGCAAACTTACCCAAGGGCTATAGATGTCCTTAATTTTCAACTGATTGACTAGAGAGAAAGTAACTAGCCAACATTACCCACCGCCGAATCGCGGGTTACTATAATTGAATAACGAGATTTGACTGTCACTCTTATAAGGCACCCACAATCCTAGAGGTGCGAGGCTAGATTTTGCGACAACCGAAAGCTGACCACGAAACCCCTGACTCACAGTCCGGCATGCTAACCGCTAAGCTACTTCCAATATTCAATATTGAAATGAAACTACAAGGTCGCATTTTAAGATATATTGATGATTTAAATAGACAACGACTTACAATTTATTGTCTGTATGAAGGAAGAAAATAGATTCAATCTTCTTTTTTTTTCAGCCCGGCATGGCCAGGTGGTTAGGGCGCTCGACTAGCAATCTGCGGGTTCGAATCCCCGTCACACCAAACATGCTCGCCCTTTCAGCCGTGGGGGCGTTATAATGTGACGGTCAATTCCACTATTCGTTGGTAAAAGAGTAGCCCAAGAGTTGGCGGTGGGTGGTGATGACTAGCTGCTAGATTAGGGACGGCTAGCGCAGATAGCCCTCGTGTAGCTTTGCGCGAAATTCATAACAAACAAACTTCTTTCAACATAAACAACTATTTTAAGAATATAAAGTATGTAAACGATTGTTTGTTTGAAGTTAAGTATAAAGATACACAATAGGCCATCTGTGCTCTGCCCACCACGGGTATCGAAACCCGGTTTCTAGCGTTGTATAAATCAATTCTTGCAAACAATTAAAATAATACGTTTCATATAATTAACACTGTGTAAATCTGCGGGCTTATAACGTTAAAAATCGAGTTTCGATACCCGTGATGGGCACGGCACAAATAGCCCATTGTGTAGCTATGTGCGCTACAAGTAAATAAATACACACACAAAAATGGCATCTTTTCCGTTTGGTGCCCACCAACAGATCGTTTTGAAAACAACACCAATAATGCAATAAAATAATTAATAATAAAACATTATATAATATTTATTTAGCGAATTCTGCGATATTAATATGTTGTTGAATGAATCTTCATCTTTGTTGCTATTTTTCCAAAGATAAGATAAGATAAGATTTGACGATGAGTTCCACATTGACGCTTATTTCTTCGCTTTAAACTGTGCCACTGTGTTTAACATAGACAGAATTCACTAAGTAAATATGTTATAATGTTTAATTATTTTATTTTATTGCGCTACTGGTGTTATTTTCAAAAACGACCTCTTGGAGGGCACCAAACGGAAAAGACCCAAAGAATGAATAATTTTTCAATGCTTCCAGGGGGGTGGGAATGTCACTAGTTTTTCCCTGCACTCTGAAGGCGGTATTACTGTTACAGCTTAATTCTGCCATAGAAAATAAAAAAAGAAACTCCACTTGCTGGATTTCTTTCTGATCACAGAAACGAACTATTTTATAATCTATTATCTCCTGGGAAAGAGTAACAGCGACTAACGAACCTCTAATCTCTCTGCTCGACTAAGCGTAAAATACGATTGTTAATCCTTGCAACACGATAAAACCGCCTTGACAGGCATGGTAGCAACAGAATTTGTTCTAACACTGCATGTTGTTGAGTTCAGCGACAAAATGGGAAGCTTGCCAGAACAAAAGCTACATAATCCTATTAGTTGGAAGTTCGGGTATAATGGATGGTCGAATCACGGCCATTAAAATTTTAATGGTCGGATCCATTACGTAAATCAAAAGAAATGGATAACTTATTGTCTCACGAAAGTTTGTCATCAGAACGATCAGCTCGACTAAAGCAGTTTAACCTCGTGATAAACGCCTCTTCTGACAAATGTTTCTTAGATTAACCCATTACTGTGTACCGA